ACAACTCTGACGACAGCGGGCATAATTGTCACGCAAGTATCAGGCCCGCATCCAACGCTGACATGACAATTAGTGAGTCGAACGCGAAGTGTCAAGCCAGTACCGCATCAATTAAGACCCAAGCGGTGCTACAGAAGGGAACAATTATCACACACACGCGGATGACCACTGTGAACTATAAATACCGTGCAGCCTGTGCATGTCTCCACCCCTGTGGGCATGATCTTTACTATGTCATCATCACCTATGATTGAGGATTCCCGAGGGAATCCGGAACGTCAGGCAAATAAAACTCTTGTTCCAGTGATCGCATCTTCTTCATCTGAACTGCTTCCTGGAACTCGCATCTTCTCTACTATTGGCGATGTCATGACTATTTTGCGAAGGCGACTGCAATGCAAGCCGCTTTCAAGTCAAAGTCAAAAAGTTTGAAAAAAGGAAGCATAATGCAAAGAGCATGTAAATAGGGGCGCAATTCCGAATGTATATTGAATGATCTGTGACTAAAAAGAATACAGTTAGTCTTAATAAAATGAAGGAAAAGTAGTAGGAACCGCTCCTCCGTGAAATTTAGGAAAGCTGGTCCTGGACTCACACTGTTAGTAAAACATACTGCACTCCGTTGTTGACAACAGGCCAGCCACGTCTTCCAAAAGGCTTTCGATAGCGTGCCTCACCAACGCCTTCTTTGCAAACTCAGCCGCACAGAAGGAGGCAAGCTTCTGACTTGGTTACAAAACTTCCTAATCAACGCATTCAAACGGTCCATGTCAGTGGCAAGCAGTCGGCAGAGGTTGCGGCTGATAGTGGCGTTACCCAAGGCTCCGTCCTCCATCCTATTCTGTTCAGTATTTACTTCAACGGATGTGTCAGCTAACTGGATTTTCATATCGCCATTTTTGCGGAAGATATCGAACTTTAGAGCGTCATCCGAACCGCAGCTACGAAGAGCATTTTCAGGCAAGCCTTAGCCGACTCCAGAAGTGGCCAAAAGACTAGCTCTTTGCGTTTCGTGAGAGCAAGTGCAATATTATACTAGTCGACTAAACCAGCTCTTCTTACCTCACAATTTACCCTCTGAATAGCACGCCCATGCAAGAAGTGGACGACGCGAAGGAATTGAGAATGTGTACCACGCCCTCGCTCGAACCCCCATGCACTGAACAAAGGTAGCAAGGTCTGCGATGTTGGTTCTGTACCTCGTCAAACGCGCTTCCTCTACCTAGGATGAAGACTGTTTCGCTAGTCTTTCGAACCTTTGTGCGGCCACAACTAGAGTTCACTATCAAAGCTTGGAAACCCTGGACCGCGAAAGACCTCATCATACCCGAAAAGTTCCAAGGGCCTGCAACCAAACTTGTCATTGGACAGGGCTTACTACCCTAGTAAACACGGTTGTTTAATCTCAATCTCTTTCCTTTGAGATATAGACAGCCGCGGGAAGACCAGGCACTAAAATTCCGAATATTATGCGTCCAGGACTGTTGTCTTGTATTAAGAGATTCATTTTAGGTCATCCTCTAAAATTACGTGTGACTGGGGTCAGGCTGGACAATCGGAATTTCTTTTTTTCTCCAATGTGGTCGACGCTTGGAGTGCTCTGTCTCTGGAGCTCGCTATGTTCGCATCCTGAGGGGATTTTAAGCGGAAACTGGACCGATATAATAGTGCGCTCTATAATACCATCCGATCGGTGTCACCCTGACGCCCGTAGTGTAATTATTATTAGTATAATTGCTACACTCCAGTAACGTTTGTTTATGGAATATTTCAATATACACAATACATCGCCTACGCTTTTTTACCATCATATTCAGGCGAAGGTTCCCTCCACCCCATTTGACCTTATCCGAACTGCGACAATCCCGTCAGCGATAGAATCTACCGCAACTTGCAACCGCAGTTTACGCGGCCGCTAAGAGTTCTCGCTTGTGTCGACTCGCGATGGACGGTCATGGCGGATACTTCTGTTCTCATCCCCTTGTCAGTGGACTCTGCAGTCAGCAAGGGAGTAGCTGGCTGTATCTTCCACACTTCACTAATGATCTCAGTGACGTCCACAATCCCCTCCCCGTTTTAACCTAGCGTACTGCCTCCCTAGTAGCGAAAGGGATTTCTTCTAAAAAATCCCAAGGAATCTTTTCATTGTCTGCTCCTTTTCCTTTGTTCCGCCCCATTGGCATCGCCAGTAAGCTGAGGTACTATTTTTGATAACACAACATGCATGTAAACACACGGGGAGTTCAAAATTACACAACCACATTTCTCTCAACTAAAGTTAACGGACCGAAAGGTTATCAGTGTGAGATATTGGCCGTCACCTACCGGTGTTTATGCTATGTATAAGAATGAATGACTCAATTGTCTAATTTTATGTAAAAGGTGACTATACAGTCTGCTGATGACCACCTATTCATGCTATCGAGGGTCTACATTATTCCTTCTTGCTGAGTCATCTAACAGAAATTCGTAGGAGTGGAAAGCATTTGCAGTTCCCATCTTCTGGTATTCCTCCGTACCAGATAATCTCGGATATGCCCATCGGAGGAGGAATCTGGTGTTGTGACGGCTTTTGAAGTCCGGAACATTGTATAATCGATTAACTGGTGCATTCTCATCCCGGCAGGCCTATTCTACTGTCGTGAACAACATAGGAAGTCGATGCATGCACAGTGCCTGCATATAATTGGTCTGATAAAAGGCCTGCTC